TGATAATGGGATGATTCCTGTTGATGGTGGTGTGAGAGAAGCTCCTGTCAGGGGAATGATTGGCAAAGTCTCTAATTTAAAGGAGTGTTCAGGTGTCACTGCCAGGGCTACTGTTACAGAGAGCCTGGTTATTGAGAAAGTTCCAGTCTCTTCTGGCCAAGATGGAAGCATCAATATAGAACACTTTGGGAGTGTGAAGTCATCAGGTTCTGTACCTGCATCAACTAGAGCTCTTTCAATTAGGGTATTTGACATAAAAGAAGATGAAGCTGCAGTGCCAGTTTGCTTGGAAGCTTGTCCCAGGGAACATGCTGTAAATGATAACGTTGGCATTGGAAATGCATGCATGATAAAAGAAACAGAAATTGTTTGCACAAGGGGAGCTGACACTCTTTGGTGTGATCGGATCTCAGGGAAAGTGACTGTTTTAGCTGGAAATGCAAACTTCTGGGCTGTTGGATGTGAAGATGGGTGTCTACAGGTCAGTCAGAAAAACTTTTATCCTTTGCTGGAGATTCCTGTCTTTTTTTGTAGTTGTTGCAAGTGGCAACTTTTCTCAATCTAGTCATTGGATAATAGCCACAAAAGATCACATAATTTAGTTGTATAGTCTGAATAACAGAAGCTTGAGCAGGAGTTTCTTCAAAAAAAAAAATTGATCAGCACACTTGATAGAGTTCCATAATCTGATTACCTCCTAGTTGTCATAATTTACTGCATTGCCTTGAATTTTTCTCTTCTAGTCCTATAAAGACAGAAACTTGGTGATGATCAGGAGGATAGATTATATAGGTAAACATTCATGGTTAGAAATAGAACCTTAGAATAAATCTGGTTTTAGTGGGCATCAAATCCTTTTATTCTCCTGTTATATATTATTGGTTAGACATAGAGTTTTGCTTAATTGTAAACTACTTCCAAAGCCCTCTCTGGTGATTGTCAGAGACCTTGTAATTACAAGTCATGAACCATCAGAACATGTGTAAGGCCATTCACTGTTACTTCCAAAACACTATAGATGTTGATTTTTCATTTTTTATGAAACTTAATATCACAGGTTCAGGTAAACTGCTTAGTAACTCAGTCCTTTTCTATTTTGCTTATGCTCGAGAAGGTTTACACCAAGTGCGGAAGACGCGCCTTGCCAACAATGATCATGGGGTCTGCAGCAACATTTATAGATTGCGATGAGAGCTGGAAACTATTACTAGTTACGAAGAAAGGATCCTTGTATTTGTGGGATATTTTTAATAGAAAATGTCTCCTTCATGATTCCTTGGCATCTCTGATCACTTCTGACCATAACTCATCTGCTAGAGGAGCAGGTACTAATAAGATTTGAACCTTTGTTAGAAGGACTAATGTTTTGTTTCAGTTGGTGTTGTAGATGTTTCTTAAAAATTGTCTGTAAATTGGTAGTCACGGCATATTTTCTCTCTTTCAGGTACAATCAAAGTTATATCTGCAAAATTATCAAAATGTGGCTCTCCTCTTGTTGTCTTGGCTACACGGCATGCATTTTTCTTTGACATGAATCTCATGTGTTGGTTGAGGGTGGCAGATGATTGCTTCCCTGCATCAAATTTTTCTAGTTCTTGGAATTTGGGTTCAATTTATACTGGTGAGCTGGCTGCATTGCAGATTGATGTTAGAAGATTTTTGGCAAGAAAGCCAGGTTGGGGCAGGTGTAAATCTACCCTAAAATCTGAAGTTGTTCTGACCTCATTCAGTTGGGCAGGATTTAATAGCATTTTTGTCATAATGAAGTTGCTTCCATGCAAACTGTTTTCCAGAAATAATTTGGAATAATTTCCTTTAACCATTCTCAAAACTAACTTTTTGTTTAGCTGATGTGCTCTCAGAATATGACCAGTTATTTGTTGTCACAGGATAACAGATGATGGAGTTCAGACACGTGCTCATTTGGAAGCTCAATTGGCTTCCTCTTTGGCTTTGAAGTCTCCTAATGAATACCACCAATGTCTTCTGTCCTACATCCGCTTCCTAACGAGGTTTGTCTTTGTAGTTTGTGCTTCTTCTCTCCCATTCATTCCTAGGGCATCTATGATCAATAATAGGGAAGTAATTAGAAGACTTTCTGACTTTCCTCCATATCCTAGTGACCAGTAACACAATCTTTGATAGCTATACAGTTTTGTAATATGTGTTCTGCATTTTTGTTCTTTCTATTATATTGCAACATGACAGTTGTACCTTCTGGTTCCAGAGAAGCAGATGAGTCTCGTTTACGAGAAGTTTGTGAAGGTTTTCTTGGGCCACCAAGTGGCATGGCATCAGATTCAGATAATCCAGTTTGGGATCCCTGTGTGCTTGTAAGCCTTTTTCCACCCAATATTTTAGAAGTGCTTTCTATGTCAAAGGATGGTACCCATATCTTGCATCATATCCTATATTATCCAGAATCAGAGTTGTTTCTTTTGAAAACACTATAACCTGTTCTGCTTCTAAATCATTTTGCTAGAGTGTGATTTGCTCCTGAATTTTACATTTTACCTTCATTGTCAAAATTGTTTGGCCATTTATCCATAATATTCATGCCTAAATTCTGAATCTTGAGAAGTTGTTTTGTATCATTTATTTTCTCGTTAAAACATCTTTATCTGCATGGAGGAAGTGTGCGGCTTTGTGTCTTGTTTTAGGTTACTACGGAATGTGGGACCTTGCATGAGCCAAATTGCAATTCTTTTTTAATTGCCCTGGTTGGATCCAAAGCTCCCTGTCAACTACTCATTTACACCAGGGATCTTTGACTGTCTTTGGACAACTATTTACTGTCACCAATCTGAATCTCTGCAGGGAATAAGAAAGCACAAACTTCTAAAAGAAGACATTCTTCCAGCAATGGCATCAAATAGAAAAGTTCAGAGGTTGCTTAATGAGTTTATGGATCGCCTCTCTGAATACGAAAATGCAGAAAACAATCTAGACCAGGAGCTTCCCTCGCCTCCAGTTACAACTCCAGCAGCAACTGATCAGATCAATTCTACCCCGCCAGCAGTTGATAAAACAGATCCTGTTGCACTTGCAACAGATCATAACAACACTGCTTCCCTTCCTACAGATCAAGCGAATGCTACAACAACAGCAACCGATCAAGTAAACTCAAGTCCCATAGTAACAGATCAAGTAAATGAGGCTCCATCACCGAAGGACTCAAGTTCATGAATTCTTACATTTAATCATTTAACATCATAGTTCATGCAGGTAATGCATACTGACTAGTGTACTTGTAGGGCAGAGTAGTTAGAGATCCTTCATTTTACACCACCATCTGATCTCGGTGAATACTCAGCTGAAGTTCATAGGCTCATCTTTGAAGCTTTACCCATCACTTGGTATGTAACAAAGAAACCTTACGTGTCAGTTAAAAATTATAATTTTCTTCATAATATCTTGTTCAATTTTAACCATGATGTCAGCTAAACTATCTTATTTATCTCACAAAAGTTAGATAGGCTTTCTTATTTGTATTTGTACTTTCATTTTTGAATGTCAATTCACATGTTTCCTTCCCATATATTATATAACATGCTTATAAGGATGCACTTTTTATCTTATCTACAAATCATATGAAACTTAGAAGCATTGCCTTTTTTAATTTGGACTTATTAACAAGGGTTGTTAGATATACATTTTTTGGGTGCATTAAAGGTCAGCTGCCTAACATTGTAGCAAACCTTTAAACCCTTAATCTCGATTCTAAGTGAAGATTTTACAGTTTGTTGGTATCGACTCGGCTGATCTCATGGGTGTTCAAAGTTGACATGTTGGATGGAATGTTTTATTGGTCCAACGTTGATTAAGGTTGTTCTTTCTGTTGAAGCAATCCAAGCCCACTGGTCTCTTCAAGCCTGCTAACAACTGCTAACCCCACCCACATGGTCTGACCTGAACCTAATGGGGCCTTTTATTTCAAGCGTGGATCTAAGTTGACGACTGTGATGAGTGAACCAACAGCCAGCCCTTTGACTCACTGTTAAGTGTAAAGCAAGAATAGGGCCCTCTAATTTAGGATAAGTCATTGATGCACCAGAAATATATAGGGTTTGTTTGGTGGAGTTTTTTTGAAGTTTTTATTTTTTTAATGTTATTTATGAGTCATGAAAGAAAAATTTTAAAGTTGCTTTTGAAAATAATAAAAAATGAATAAGAAATGAGTAAAAATGATGTTTATAAAAAGTAAAAGTTTAAAGTTTTTTAAAATTTATTATTTAAGGTTTTTTTAATGTTAAAAAAAATTAAAAATGTAAGTTTTTAAAAGAAAATTTTAAACTTATAAAATATAAATAGTGTCAAAAAATTGAAACATGTACAAGTTTCACCAAATATGCTCATAATCAATAAGGAAAGTATGTACCAAAAAAAAAAAATAAGGAAAGTAAAAATTAATAACTCATGCCATTAAAAATATCAAAACTTCTAATTTTAAATGTTTTATAAATAAAATTTTAGTTATAATTTATGTTATATTTTCACTCATCATGTGACTTTAATTAAATATATTGATATTTTTAATGTTAATATTTCTTGAATTTTTGCATCCTCATAAATAATAACAATTTCACAATTCATTAACGGGTGAGGCTGCCAAGGGGTCTACTTCTGGATCATTATTATTATAAAACATTTATGCATTCCATGAAAACGCAGAAAAAACATGATTACCGGACTGGGGTTGGTTGGCATATTCATACATAAGATAACAAGAAGTTGAGGAGAGATTATCGGAATGTGCATTAAAGATAGGAGTTGAATGGGAGTTAGTCGATTTGAAGTCACAATTGCTGGCATTATCATACACCTAACAGGGAAAAGTCTCACCCATGCAAAATTCAACCAATTATAATTGAATGCTGTATACGCAACATGATTGTCTCTTAAAGTTATTAGATATGAAATAATTTAGAGGTAATTTTTTATATTATTTTTTTATATATATTTTTGTAGAATTTTATATGTTATTTAAATAATTAATTTTTTATTTATTTAAAATTTGTGATATTAAATTTATTTACTTATTTAATAATATATAAAAATCATATAAAAAAATTATCTTTAAATCACTATCTTACCTATATATTAAATAAGTTCTTGGGATTTTTCTAAACCAATTAGTGGTATTAATGTATCATGGGTTTGAAGTCGACTTTTGTCTTTTTTTAATTGTATGTATGAGAACAAGACTAGAAAATGGAAATATTGACTATTGACAGAACTACATTTGCATTGAGAAGACAAGGACAAAATTAGGTAAAATGTGAATTTTAGTTTTTGAATTTTGTATTTAAATATTTTTTAATTCTTGAATTATTTTTAACATTATTTTAATTTCTCAACTTCATAAATTATTTTTTTATTTAAATAATTAAAATATTATCCAATACTATGTAACTTGGTAACTATGCTCTCGATGAAAAATATTAGAATATGAAATTTTAAATTCAATATATTACTTCATACCTCAAAAAATCTCTAAGTTCAAAAAAAAAAATCAAGATATTAATTAATTTATACAGGTGTAACTTGAAATTAATATTTTTTAAAATAATTTTAAAGACGCAATTTCTGACAATAGCCCAATGCATTTAATGCTATTTGTGAAATGTTGACAGCTAGCTCCAATTGATAGAATTTGTTGGTCCCTGTGCCCGCGACGGTGAAGAGCATTGTTGTCAAAATCTAGATTTAAATCTTAAAATCTTACGATTTTACGATTTCAGTAAGATATTTTGTGTAAAATTTATACTAAAATCTGAAATTCATAAAATTTAAGGATTTCACGATAAAATCTAAATTTTATCGTAAAATCAGGTAAAATCAAGTAAAATCTCGATTTTACCTTCTGTTAAGCAGCTGGACTTTTAGTTTATTTCTTTTTGGGCTTCTCATCTTGCATCAGTGAGTTTTGACTAGATAACCTATAAATTAAGTTCATTTTTTATTTTAAAAGCTCACAACCCAGACAACCCAACCACAAATCAACATTTTAATCGAAAATTAAGGACAAATTTGATTTAACCATATAAAATTTTAAATTTAAGTCATCTTTTTCGTTTAATTTATTTGTATTGTTGGATATTTAGATTTTAATTAGCTAATTTCAAGTTTCTAACTCTAAATTTGATTTATTGTTATTTAATTTTGATTTTTATAATTTATTATATATTATATATTAAATTTTATAAAATCTCAATTTTACTTATTCGATTTTATAATTCCGATTTCACCTAACCAAAACGATTTTAAATAAAATCTCGATTTTGACAACCTTAGTCAAGAGACTTGCATGTGCTCATGTACATAGGGGAATGCCATTTTGTTTCTCAAGTTATAGCCTTCGATAGCTTATTTCTTCTCTGATGCAGGAACAGTAGAAATGAAATTTTATTGCTCGAGTCAGCAATTATCTATGAATTGCTTGTGACAGCTATTTAGAGTGCTGAACTTTGGCACATGTGTATCAATGCATGCATGTGCTCTCAGTGTTACATGAGCCCTCCATGGCAACGTTAAATAAATACTAGGTCTCTGTATCTACAGCAATGTATAAATGAAGGTAGGTATTGGTTATTTGCTGTAAAGGGTTGTTAGGATTGAAAGAATATGAATAAAGGTAGGTGCTGTTGTGTTAAGGTTTTTTTTGCTCACACCAATTTATCAAACCGTATGCAATGGTGAAAATTCTCATGATACAATAGAGTTAATCACAATATTTGATGGATTTTTGCGCTGATGAAATTAGACCACTGAACGTGTACTAAAATTTGTAAAATTATTTCTAACTTGTATGTAACGACTGTGGTTGGGAAGAGGATGGGATTAGAAAAGATAAGGTGGGGATCGAACCCCACACACCTAAATGCCAAACCACAAAAGAGGACAATGGTGTTGCCATTTACTGATGGGTAGTTGGCACAATTGCACATGGCTCACTTTTTATATTTTGAACATAATAAATAAGATATTACTCTCTTTATTTTATTTTAATAGATGGTTTAGCACTCCACGTGCGTGGCCTAATGGTCACCTGCTGTTGTTTGGGGTAGCTTGTGGTTTGCATCTCATATCTCAGATTCAATACTTTCTCTACACACTAACTCTTCTAATACATTAACACCTCTAACTATTGCTTTTTTCCAAAAAAAAAGAAAAAGAAAAAGACGGTTTTAAGATAGAATACACAAATTAAGAAAAGAAATATGTGGAGGGTAAACATGGAAGAGAGGAAATTGATAATACATTGAAAGGTGAGAACAATAGATAAAAGGAAATAAAAAATTCTTCTTAAAACGTCTATTAAAGTGAAATAGAGAAAGTAATTGATACATATTGCACAACAAACTCAGTAAAAAATTATTATTTTTATTTATAATTAAATATAAATAAACTTAAAGATATAAGAATAAACTAAATTAACTATTTATATTATATTTTAACAACTAAAATGAGATGAGCATCAACAAATATGTTGAATTAAGTGGATACAAATTATTTTCCTAATATATATTTAGAACAATGATTTGCAGACTAACTTGTTGGTTATTAATTATGGTGCGATTCAAGCAATGGCATTTTCCGTTAATTAGGATCTTGGTCAATTGAACAATTTGATTTTTCTAGGCGTGGAAGCGGCCGGCCGCCTTCATCAATCAAGGGCAAGGCCTCCATGTACAAGTAAATGTATTTCCGTGTCTTACTCGTCCGAGAAGGAAAACGCCAAGCATGTGGAGACCCCCTTTGTTCCGCCTTGACTAAGACTACAGTTGCCGTGAAGAATATGCAGGTTGTGTGTGAATGTGATTATTTGTGATTAGGCATCTTAATCAATTGAGTCAAGTAGTTAGGTACTCATGTTTAAACTCATCTTAAAGACTTGAGTTTGAGTATTTATCAGGTTTTAACTAATTAAGGTAATACTCAAGTTTATAAGTATTTAAATGAGTTCGAGTTCAGCTCAAAAGTATTTAATTGAGTTTGAATATGAGCTTGAGCACTTAAACAAGCCAATACTTAAGCTTGAATTTGAACTCTTTTTTTTTTTCCTTGTAATTCTAAATTGTTTTAATAACCAATTATTCAATCATATACTTTTCTATATTTTTTTAGAAATGTTACAATGCCAAAAGTTTAAACAAGAATCATTATATTAAATTCAGGAGTAAAAAAATAACAATAAACTTTATTTGAACATTTTTAGTGATAGTTCTAAAAAACTTGAAATATATGTAATTTATTTAAGTTATCTTTTTAGCTTTGTTAAATTTATAGGATACTATATGTTTAAATTATGCTAAATATATAATCTAATTTTTAATTCCAAATCAAATTAAATAATCATAGTAACTCATAAGTAGACATATAAGTTCAAGTTCATTTTTTGATCGAATTTGATATTAAACTCAAACCCAACTCAATTACCAAATAATCAAGTTTAATTAATTTGAATAGCTCGTGAGTCTCTCACAGACTATTTTACTTGCTAACCACCCTATTTGTAAACCTATGTAAAGAAAGAAATCTAAGTAATGCCAAGTCATTTAATACTTGTAATAATTATTAATGGCTGGTGCATGGGAGAGTAGAGTATGGCACAGGGGAAGTGCGTAAATTCGCGCAAATAGGTGGTTAGAATTAGACCCATGAATCAGGGAAACAGCTGTGTGCTTCCTAATTTATGGGCTGGTTGCTCAGAAAAATCTGACACCTGCGTGCACAGTGGGTTTGAGTAGGTGACCGTCTCCTCATTTCTTAAACGCAAGTCTGCAAGTAGAAGTTGTGTGTTTTAACTTTCTTACCCTTTTCTATTCCCCATTATATGTTATCAATCTACCAAAGGAAATTAATTATTTAACCCAACCACTTGCTTGCGCTCCTCTTTATAAATATCGGACTCTCCCCATCGATATTTCTCACGTAGTGGGAGGCCAATAGATTTTTTTAAGAGCTCATTCCACATTTTCTTCCATATTTCAATACCTACTTCCCTCTCTTTCCTTTTTCCTTAACTAAATTACCATGGAAATTGGAAGTGTTCTTCAGTTTCTTGAAAACAAGTCCATTCTAGTCACTGGTGCTACTGGGTTTTTGGCAAAGAGTATGTCTATACATACCGTGCGTCACATTCCTCCGTTTTTTCCTCTGTTTTGTTTACCTAATGAAAGTTTGCTATTCTTATGATGCAGTCTTCATTGAGAAGATACTGAGAGTTCAGCCAAATGTGAAGAAATTTTACCTCCTTTTACGAGCTGCAGATGCTAAGTCTGCAGCTCAACGCATGCGCAATGAGGTACGCTTAAGCTAGTACTTAGTTATCACATAAGTTTGGAAGGCCCGACTTTAACCTCGACCGTAATTGAGGTTTTAAAGGTGGTGTGTGTGTTTGTATATGTTTTTATACACGAAATAGCTTCAGATGAGGCAGTATTGTCTATTTTAGAACTTTTGTTTCTCTTCTTTTGGCTTATTTTCTCTCTACACAAAATAGGTATATGCATAAAATAAGTTTTGATTTTTTTGACAATGTGCATTACATATGTTCATATACTATCACATGAGTAAGATATATATAATATTACACATTTTATTCAAATTAAAAGAATAAATAAGAATTACACTACATCAAATCATATTATAAGATTTTATTAATAAAAAATATTGTTAATAAATTATTTTTCTTTTTGGAAGAACATATGTTGCTATAAATCAATGTTTCTTAATTTCCATCTGACTGATTTTATGCATATTTTTCAGATCATAGGAAAGGACTTATTCAAGGTTCTGAAGGAGAAATGTGGAGCAAATTTCAGTTCTCTTATATCAGAGAAAACTACCCTTGTTCCTGGAGACATCACATGTGAGGATTTAGGGCTGAAAGACCCCACTTTGGTGGAAGAGATGTGTAAGGAATTGGATGTAGTTGTTAATTTAGCTGCAACAACTAACTTTGATGAGAGGTAGTACTATTAAAAAATCATTAATATTCTCAATAATATAATTATTTATATTAATTAAGTTTATTAAAAAAAATCAATTATTACCCATGCAGGTATGATGTGTCACTTTACATTAATACAATGGGAGCCAAACATGTTCTGAATTTTGCCAAGAAATGTGTCAAAATAAAGGTGTTTGTCCATGTATCCACAGGTAAGTCTTTAGTGTGCAACATCAAATCAAATTAGTTGGACGTAATGTTCACATTTATTGATGTTTCTGTTTCTTTCTCCATCAAAATTCGTGCTTTATTTATTAATTAGCTATAAATACATACAGAAAAAGAGAAATGATTCACCTTTAATATTTGTTATAAATAAAATTTTATAATTAATACTTTTAGGCTATAATAATTATGAGTAACTCATTTTATTAAATGAGATGTATGAATTAATATGTATTTATTTATTTAATTTTATATTTATTGTAATTGTTCAATCGAGAAAACGAGATCAATAACTCAAGTTAAATTTTTTTATGCTAGTCACTTAAATTAATTAAGGAAATTTTGTGTTGTTACAGCTTATGTATCCGGTGAGAGGGGAGGGCTTATACTAGAAAACTCATATAGCATGGGAGAAACACTCAATGGTGTTTCTGGGTTAGACATTGATGCAGAGAAGCAAATTGCGGAGGATAAATTGAACCAACTCCAGGCACAAGGAGCCTCGCCTCAAGCAATTACCCAAGCCATGAAGGATTTGGGCATCCAAAGGTTCGTTGAAATCTAACCATCTTCCTTCCTTCACAAATATATATGTTGTAATAAGTCAAGGAAATCTAAGATCTAAGTTATCTTGTTATGTTAAAAGAAAATAAAAGATTAAAATAAATTGAACATGGGGACACAATTGGGATCAGGCTCAGTGCCTCCCATAGTGCCGTGAGCAAATTTATGAGCAAATTGTGGGGCTAGCTACTAGCTACTCCAAGTAGTCTCCAATAATGTTGCCATGGAATATTAATGGCATCTGTGGATGGGCGGTTGAGATAAGACTCAACCTCCCCTGCGCTGGGCCTGTCAAAATCGTGAAGCAGTAGCACATTGTACATATGTACATATCCATTGACCATCCTTTTTTGGGGTCTGCGAAGCCCTAAAAAATTCATTTCAGTAGGAAAATAATGCATACCGTTGGGTGTCTGTGGCGTGAGTTGAAAAACATTAGTTGTGGAATTTCCATACTTGCTTTTCAAAACATTCCAAAACTCATGGGCTATCTCATGGCACACAACTTTGAAAAGATCACACACTTATGTTATTATTTTATTAATTTATAATTTTTTAAAATAATTAATTATAATATTTAAAATATTTATTTATAAATTAATTTTAATTTATTAAATAATAAATATTAATTATTTTATTAATTATTAATTATTTTTAATAATTAAATTAAAATAAAAATTTAATAATTTATATAACTATTACAAATTAAAAAATGACCATAACCAAAGCCAAAACTCATCCCACCTTTTGTCCTTTGGGGGTTTTAAAGGCTTTTTACCAGGGTGGTCCTAACTGGTATCGACTGGGATCATTAATAACTTGATTCAATTTCCACCAAACACACCCCACCTTGGCCCTTGCCCAGTAGCCCTCCTAAATAGACCAAACCAAACCGAATATCAGCACAGCCCCTGCAGTTTTCCAACACAATCTATTTTTGTATAAAGCGACAAAAGGTAACAGTTACGTCTTCAATTTCGTAGTCAATTTTTTTTTTTACGTTTTGATTGTATAACATGAGATAAAATTTTTTTATTTTTTATCTTATCTTATTTATATATTATATTATTTAAATTTAAAATTTTTTATTTTTAATAAAAAAATTAACATTAAATGATTTAAGTCGTTGTCATTTCGAATCAATTTTAAAGATTGAATCTGACCAAAATCAATCCTTACTTGATGTCCTTAGCTTGCGTGAGCATGACAATCACACCCCATGTGAATCTAGCAGAGTGGTTTATGGATTAAAAACCAACTGCACAAGATGGAGATATTTATTTTTTTTGAACATGCAGATGGAGATATTTATTCAGGATAAGTTATTTTCAAATTATAATTATATCAATTGGTTTATCTATCTTATGTTTTTAGGTTAAAAAATAAAATATTATTAAATAATAATAATAATTTTTTAT